CTTTGGGGGTGACTAGGACTTAAATCTTTTCCTCCACAACAAAGATGTAAGACACACAAAAGGTTAATGATATTTTTTGGCAAAAGAAATCTGTCTGCACATTGAAGGTAAAGTGAGAAATATAAGCAAGTTCAAGATGATTACAGTAAGTTCTGTTCTTCTTTCTTCCCTCCGACAGTCAGGTTCTTTCTTTCTTTTTCTTCCTTCCTTCCTTCCTTTCTTCCTTCCTTCCTTCCTTCCTTCCTTCCTTCCTTCCTTCCTTCCTTCCTTCCTTTCTTTCTTTCTTTCTTTCTTTCTGTGGTGTATATGCATGCATATTAACGTGTATGTGTGTGTGTGTGTGTGTGTGTGTGTGCGTGTGTGTGCATGTGTGTGCATGTACCATTGAATATATATAGAATTCAGGGACAATTTGAGGTAGTTAGTTCTTTCCTTCTACTGCGTAGGTCCTTTAGATCCAACTCACCTGTGTAGTCAGGTTTGGTGACCACTCCCACTCCAGCCTTGCTCTGTAGTCAAGGCTGGCCTCTGATTTGCAGTCCTCTGTCAGTCTCCTGAGCCTGGGATTATAGGTGTAGGGGTAACACACCTGGCTTTTTGATTTATTTCACTGGAGCTAAATGAGACTCTCAGGTAACACTGAAGAACAACGGGCATTTTATCTTACATATAGCTTGTTTGGGTTAAAGATTAAACATCGAGACATGAAAATTAGAAGATAAATGCATTATTAAAGCCAAGGATATAAGACATTCTTTAGCTTGGTAAAACTGGCACTATAAAGAAAATGATGAAGTGTACAGGAAGCAAGAGCTGACTGGGAGGCATCAAAATAAAGTACTACCAAGTCACATCCAGCAAGAGTTCTGAGGGAGATAAATTAGTTCCAAATATTTCACAAAATAAAAATACAACAAAAAACTAATAAGGAAATAAAACAGAGAGTCATTAGTATCAATTCTCTCATCTAGAGTTGTAGGATGATTGTAAGTAGTATGGTTTGGCAGAACATTAACTCTGTTGGGACTCACTGACTGTATTATTAGCTAATGAGTTAAGAGCTGTTTGAAATAATTAATGCAGCAAAATGTCTAATATTTGCCATGATTATTTTAAGGTTTAAGAACTTTGTAGTTCCTACATCACACATTTTAGTAGCTGTAGAAGTGACAGTGTATGAATACACTAATAACAACATTAATAGCATTACTTTTTTTTTCTTATGAATTGTTGTGGTCATGGTGTCTCTTCATAGCAAAAGAAACCTAACTAAGACAGTAACTCTGGGCTAAAGTAAAATTTAAAAGGAATCAGAAGTCAGTAACCAAAAAAGTCTTGCAGGATGAGTACAAATTTTGGTCCTGGGATCAGTTTTCTTTGCACTATTTATCAGTCATTGCTTTCTAGCTAGGAGACTGGACAGGTTTCTTCATTGTATATATTCAGTTTCCACACAGATAAAATGGAAAATAATGGCATGTAATATGAATCTACAACATCAGGCCCTCCCACCATTCTCAAGGTATACATGGATAGTTCTGTCTGAAAGGACGGAAATAGGTGTGTAGGCACTCTAATGTCAATATCTAATGAACACGAGTAAATTGTTAGCTATTAGCAATCCTGGAAAATTTATGTAATTGTTTATACTGCTTACTAATTTGCTTACTAAACAAATATTAAGAACCAATATTCACTACACAGTGACAAGTGGTCATAATTCCTGTACTCACAGACATTAAGATATGAAGAATAATTCTTTCAAAATATTTTTTAAAAATCCCAGCACTTGGGAGGCAGAGGCAGCCAGGTCTCTGTGAGTACGAGATCAGCCTGGTCTACAAGAGCTAGCTCCAGGACAGGCTACAAAGTACAGAGAAACCCTGTCTCAAAAAAAAATACAAATAAATGCAAGCTGAGGAAATGAAAGGCAGGTAGCTACAGGTCTGTGTGACAAATAGGTCTAAATAAAAACATCTTTTTTCTTTTGGTCTAGTCTTTAATTATGTTTGAAGTCTCACTGCATGGTGTGTGTGTGTGTGTGTACGCACATGGGCATAAAACCAGGTAAAGAATTTGAAAATGTATTGTAGAAAAGACAGAAGATGCCAAAACACAGAAACAAGAATTATTGTCCAAGAAGTGAGTGAATCGCCTTAGTTGTAGCTAAGGTAGCAAAGTAGACTGCAATTGAAGAGTTGTAGTGACACGAAAAGATGAGATGTTTAAAGACTGGGGATCCAAGCCAGAGACTCGCAAGTTCACCTTGAGAGCAGCAGGAAGTAGATGTAATGACTTATAACAAAGTAACGTGATCACCTATGCATTTTAAAAAGATTCGTGTGAATCTAGATAATGAGGGAGGAGGAAGGCAGCTGCAAACATTTGCAGTGGGAATAGTGACAAGGCTGTCAGGGCGCTCTGTTCATAAGCTGATGCTGGTTGATGATACGTGATGATAGACAGACTCGAAAGACCCTTAGGATGGAGAAGCAAAAGAATCTGTAGCAAATCGGATGAGAGGAGGAATGTCTGGTGCTTAATCTTAATTGCCAGCATGCATGAATTAAGAGCCACCAGAGGGATTAGTAAAAGTCACCTGTGTGTGAGAGCGTTCACAGAGACAATTGGATCATGTAGACTGTGACCCAACCCATCATTTCATCCACCAATGAATCCAACGTTTGTCTAGACTAGACAGTGGCCACTGGAGGAAACTGTTGAAGGTGAGACCTGGTTGAAAGGAGTAGGTCACTGGGAGGAGGGCATTGAAGTGACATCTTACCTTGTATACTTCCCATTTCTCCCTGATTCCCCTCCATCTGAGGTGCAGAACTTCCTTGTCCACATGCTTGCACCTCCATTAAATTCTGTGCAGGCACACTGGGCTAAGCGATCAGGTGCTGAATCTTGTGAAAATCAGGGCCGCAATCCTTCTCCCTTTAAGTTGTCCCTTCAGACAACTTCTGGTGACAGTTATGCAAAAGTACCTGTTATGGACTGACAGAGACAGAATGGTTAGGTGCAAAATCACGATGTCTCAATGGGATTACATGAGAAGATGAGAATATCATTTGTAAAACTAGCATGTGCAATAGAAAAACAGGTGAGGATTGAACCAATAGGGCACGAAACATACTGCTTCAAACTAAAGTTTGTGATGTGAAGGCAATTGGGTATTTGGTTCAGAATTTTGGAGACACTTCTGGACAGATGCTGCAGAATCCCTGACAACCGCCAGACTGGGACACTCCAGTTGCCTTATTTCCCCTTGAGACCAGGTCCAGACTACACAGTCAGGAGAAGCCTGACCAAACTGCTGATGGCACCAGAGCATACCGAAGACCTGGATAGAGACTTTATTCTTAAATCTCATACAAAGAGAGAAAATCCTAACCCTGCTATGAATTAACCCTATCCAGAACATCTCTGCTAAAAGGAGAAAGGTGACTTGAATGAGAAACAAGGAAAAACTCAACCAACAAACTAATCCCAGATGTGCAAATCCCAACTCAGAAATAAAAACAATGCAAAAAACCAAAACAACATATTACTTTAATAAAATGCACATTCCACGGTAGTGACCCCTTGTGAAAATGATGTGTAAGAACTTAAAAGGAACAAAAAGAAATTATTGTGATTATGGTCAGCAATTCAAAGAAGACAAAGACAAAGAAATGTGTGAAATGAATAGTCTGTCCAAATCATGAGGACGCAGGTTGATTTTTTTATGAAAATGCAAGCTGAAATGATGCTGTAGATAAAAATTCCAATAAAACCTAGGGCTGGAGAGATGGCTCAGTGGTTAAGAGCACTGGATGTTCTTTCATAGTTCCTGAATTCCATTCCCAGCAACCACATGGTGGTTCACAACCATCTGCAATGAGATCTGGTGCCCTCTACTGGCACACAGTGTATGTACAAACACAACACTGGACACATAATAAATAAGTAAAAATATTTAAAAAAATTCAATAAACCAATAAAAAACCCTGAGCAGAAAGTCCCAGCAACAGAATAACTCATGTGAAAAATAGACTCAGTGATGGAAGACAATGAAGGGGAACAGGATTGTCAAGCAAATATCAATGAGAAGTTTTTTAAAAAATATATGACTGGAAAACGAGAAAGTTTTGGGAATAGCCTCTGAATTATGGGCATAGAAGAAGAATGTTGTAAAATAAGAGCGGCAGGCTGCTTCCTGTCACCCAGCTACCCAGCTAGTTTACACACGAAATAATTACACAGAAACTGTATTCATTTAAACACTGTCTGGCCCATTAGTTCTAACCTCTTATTGGTTAACTCTCACATATTAATCTAACCCATTTCTAATAATCTGTATCACCACTTGACTGTGGCTTACCGTGTCGGAAAGGAGAGCCATGGAATCTGCCTGACCCTCCTTTCTTTCTCCCAAAATTCTTTTCTGTCTACTCCACCTATCTAAACTGCTGTCCTATCAAAAAGATAAGGCAGTTTCTTTATTTGACCAATGAAAGCAACACATAGAAAGAAGACCCCCCTACACCAGAAGAAAACTGTGATGAAAGCACAGAAAATACCTTTAGTAAAATCAAAGATTAAAATTTCCCCCACCAAGAGAAAAGAGGTGCTTATGACGGTACAAGAAGCCTATAGAGCACCAATAGACAGGATCAGAAAAGAAATTTTCTATAGCATATTATATTTCAACTTTTAAAAATGTACTGGGACCATATTGGGCCAATGAACCGAACAATACCTCATAATAAAATTTTATGGATTAAAGTTTGATTATTTGATGTGTTTGCAATACACAATAATCAAATCAGTAGTCAATAAATGTATTTTTTTTAATGTAGTGAGTCAGGTGTGGTGGCACTTGGCTGTAATTTTAGTTCTTAGAAGAGGGAACAAGCTCAAGGTTCAAACCCAACTTTCATTACATAGAAAGGTTGAAGCCAATTATATAAGATCCTTTCTTAAAAAACTAAAAACCAGCTCTTCCACGGGAGGCCTACACGCCGCCGATTGTGCCGCCATGTCTCTCGTGATCCCTGAGAAGTTCCAGCACATCCTGCGAGTACTCAACACCAACATCGATGGGCGACGGAAAATAGCCTTTGCCATCACTGCCATTAAGGTTCTGGCCAACGGCCTGGACAACAAGCTGCGCGAGGACCTAGAGCAACTGAAGAAGATTCGGGCACATAGGGGACTGCGCCACTGCTGGGGCCTTCGTGTCCGAGGCCAGCACACCAAGACCACAGGCCGCCGGGCCGCACTGTAGGTGTATCCAAGAAGAAATGAGTCCCTGGCCTTTGATGTTAATAAATAGTTTATATGCCTGTGAAAAACAAACAAACAAACAAAAACAAACAAACAAAAAAACTAAAAACCAACAAAAAAGCAAACAAAAACGAAACACAATAACAACAGCAAAACAATAATCAACATGCCACAATGCTGATTGCACACAGTGACTCTCTGAAGGAGTTTAATGAGAATGTTTAATTTCGTTGTCATAACATATGTGGTTGAAACAAAATGGCAGAAAGAGAAAATGAATCTTTTAACAAAATGAAACCAGTGACCAACAAAGACAGAGTAGCCAGGGTCTTCATCAGTATTAAAGCTCTGTCTTTCAATCTCTGTGTCATTTCCTGTCTCAAAGTAGTAATGCTGTCAATGTGGTCATATTATTCCTATCTCTTTAAATTCTATGCTTCAAATTCTGTATTTCACAAAACATTTTATTCTACTTCATTAGTTTGTGAGAGACCTCCAGAAAGACATAAAGCTTGAAAAAAATTACCTTAATTTGATACACTGTTGACATAAAAGGAAAGAGAAATTGTATATTTATAACATATTAAAATTATTCAGTAGATACAAAATTATTGCACATACTAAACTAAAAAATTATTTATTAATAAGATCTTTAGATATTTACTTTCTGCTTCCATTTTGCAAAATTAAATCATGGTTTGAGGTATTTCAGTTCTAAATAGTGTTTCATTACTAAAAGTGAAAAGTAAGAAGTGGTTTGATAATACATAAATTGTCCATTCTCCTTTCAGATGCCATGTATTATTTTATTTATTCATAAAGCAATCCCTGACTGGGACCTGAGCCAGTAAATTGATCTCATTTTCATTACTTATAACAGCTATTTGGACAAGAACCATTGTTATAACTTAGCAAAATTAGGTAACTGTTTCCTGACAACCTACAGGAAAAAATATGATTTCCTATAATAAAGCACTGAACTACATCCAACTCAGAGAAATATGCTGAATTTATAAACAGAAAATTAAATGCTCTAATGTTCAGAAGAACGTGGACATTATGGCTTCTGGAATTGTTCTTCATCTTGAGCTGCTATTACTTATGCAAAATGTCAAAGGAAGATGAATGGCTCATTGTTAAATCTATTGAATAAAAAGCTCTGATTTCTAACAGCGATTTTAATCAGGAATCATTATATGATTTAGAGCAAAATACTTAAAAATCCCATGCTCTTGTTTTGTCATTGGTAAAATAAGAATAATGCATGTTCTCTCTGTCCTTCAGCTGCCCAGGTTTTATAAAATAATAGCAATAACCTAACTCTAGTAGTATAAATGCAAACCTTGTAATATAAAATTGTTTAAATCTAGGCATCAGTTAGTTAAATTAATCCTAAGAAAAATTTGGTGCATATAGACTTGCATAGTAGTAAATGGTATCTATTTATCTAAACACTAAAATATGTTCTTCATTTTACCAGTGTAATTCTTGCTACTGCAATAGGTTTACTTTATGGGCAGATGAAGAATGTACCTTCAACATGAAAACAGGCTGTCCATTTCAGATCAACATCCAAGAGATTGTGTCTATTAGTAAAAGTGAAAATACAATTGGGCCATGAAGTCTTGAGAACATAGAATTCTTCACCGGGAACTGTATAAGAAGCATATTTCTTTGGCTTTTTTTTTTCTTCCTTTACAATGAATGGTACATGGACCTTTGTCTCGCTCAGTTATTGTGAAATCTGTCATCAACATGGAATCTACTGCATTATTTATGGGTTTTGTTGCTGTGTGTCCTAGTTTGCTTTCAACTACTATGATAAAGACCATGACCAAAAGCAACTTATGGAGAAAAGGATTTATTTGGCTTACATGCCCTCCTCACATTTCATTATTGAGTAAAGTGAAGGCAAGAACTCAAAGAATGTTAGGAACCTGGAGATAGGTACTAAAGTCGAGGCCATGGAGTCATATTGATTGGTGTCTTGGTCTGATGGCTTGCTTGGCTAGATTTCTTTTTCAATACAGGATCACCTGCCCAGAGGTGGTAACACCCATAGTGAGCTAGGCCCTCCACATCACTAATTAATCAAGAAAATTGCCACAGAAATGCCTGCATGCCAATCTGATATGGGCAGTTCCTTAATTAATACTCCCTCTCTGAGATGACTCTAGTTTGCATCAAGTTGACAAAATTAACTAGCACATTGCTGTTTAGTTTTGAGACATGGTCTTGCTATGTAGTTTAATCTAGTCTGGAAGGCTCTGAATAGCGCAGGCTTGACGTGAATCCATAATAATTTGATTATAGTTCTGGGAATACTGGTGTATGCCACCGTGTGGGGCTTCATTTATTGTAGTGTTCAAAAGATGTTGTCTTGGGCATATCTATTCACAGACACACCAGTATATTTGAGAAATTTGAGAGTTGTAAGAAAAAGAAGTCACACAAACAGTGCAATAATAATAAAATGCTAAACTTTTGGGATATCGGTGTTGATGTATTTCTGGATGAAGTCATGTTTGAGGAATGCATTCTCCAAAGGGCATAGGCACTGAAGCATAATTTTGACATTTTTTTGGATGCTTGTTATTATGAGTTCTGTTAATGTTTTGTTACTTCACTCTTAGGAAAAATAATTGCCTTGTACCTTATTATTTATGGTTTGAATAAGATAATTTTTGACTTTTAATGTTTAAAAGAAATTTCATAGTGGCACATTCCCTTAATCATGATTCTCCATTGAGAAAAAAGGATTACCATAAATTATAGGTCAGGTTAGATTATATAGTGAGTTTCAGACTAGCCTGGGCTACATAGTGAGACACTGACTTAAACAGTCCCCCCTCTGAAAAAATTCACATCTTTAAACTGAAAGTACGTATGTTGCCAATTTGAGGAATATTGCCAATCCTGCCAGTATTCAGGAATGAGAATCCAGGATAGGTTGGGAAAAGTAGAGTGGACAAGCATCAGATACCTTATTTTGTATCCAGAGTTCAGACACAGATATATAGTAGTAAGAGCCGTCAACCATTCATTTATTTATTTGATAAATGTTTTCTAAGTGTATATCATATGCAGCTATGATGAATAGACATGAGTATTCCTGTTGTAAATAATAGAACACACTCATCATCCAGGTCTGAAGTGAGGATCCCTACTTCTTGCTCCATAAATTACAGATACAGAGGGCTCAGGTGTGAGTGTAACCATCATAGTCCTAGAAAGTGAAAGGGAATGTTCTCATGGTGTAGCTTTCCGTAATACCCTGCTGTTTTTTTCTTTTTTTCTTTTCTGAAAGGAAAATAAAATGAGGCTATCTCAGCCTTTACTTTAGGTGGAATGCTTTCTCAGGTTGTAAAATAGTGGATGCAGACTATAGAGACAGCGTAAAGAAGTGATTTAATGGTGAAACAATCCCACACCAGTTAGGTTTTAAAGGGGTATTTATTTTGGGGGGTAAAACTTACATAACACAAACCGTCAGGAAAGGAGCCTAGTCGCTGGAGCAGCAGCCGGAACCAAGCGAGTGAGCCGAGGCTTGCCGCTCTTTTTTAAAGAGAAATATATCAGGCCCCAGTGGGCTGGTATTTCAGTGGCTATTGGCTGAAGGAGCAGAAGGCGCTACCGCAGCAGTGATTCATAGAACAGAGAATTGAAATAAAACATAAAATATTTTAACATAGCAGAAACATCGTTAAAAGAGTGTGCAATTGAATAGCATTTGGGAGAAAAAAGTATTTGTCAATAAAATAAGTTGAAGATTATAAACTAGTAATAAGATGATAAATACTAGAGAAATTTTCCATGAGACTTCCATTTAAGCTGATGTAATTAAGACTTAAAAATTATTAGAATCTAAAAGTCAAGATACTTCATTTAGCATTGAACAAATATTTTCTGAAGGCTGAATATGTAGTATTAACAAGACTGGTGGCCTCATTAGTAAACAGGGGTTGGGGGTAGTGGTGTTTTGAATCATCCAGTATGTAAGCCAGTCAATACATACATGCTAAGTTTGTGAGGATGAAGAGTTAAAATGTTGTGACAGGACTAATTAAAAAAAAGTCTGTAGTAGCAGACAAATGATTCTTCCCTACCCAGATGTGTCTGCGAGCTAACCTCCTGAGTCCATGCATGTAGAAGGGAGTCTGCAGGATTGCATATGTGGGGTATTTGAGATGAAAATATTCTCGAAGTGGACCTAATCTAAGTCTGTGACACCTTAAAGCTGGAAAACACGTTCTAGGATGGAACGGTATGGGAAAGCATAGTTTTAGAATGCTTAAAATGATGGAACATGGCCAGCTTTGAAAATAGAGGACATGGATAATTGCATAAAATAACTCGATACTGAAAGAATCAAATTCAACGTGAAGTTCCCAATCTCCACTGAAAATACCATTTTTAGCTACCTTTAAAGTCTTTAAAATATATAGACTTTAGGTCTGGTTAATGCTGCTGTGTGATTTTCTTTATTATTTTCAAGGTTTTATTTAATAATAATATGTATAAAAACAATAATAGTAAATGAAAAATAAACTGAAAAAAATTTTTAAAAAAATGCTAAATGGGGAAGGAAGATGTGAAGCCAAGCAGTGTGCATGGACTCTAAAGTTGAAAGAGAAACTGTTTAGAGACTTGTTTACTTGTTGTGACGAAATAACTCACAAAATAAGTTAAAGATGGGAGGTAGGGATTGGGCAGACTCACAGTCTGTATGGGAGGGAGTCATGTGGTAGGAGCTTGAGGCCATTGGGTATATTATGTCTGTGATTAGGAAGCAGAGAGCCATGAATGCCTGTTCTTAGCTCATTAGTGATGTTTTACTCATTCCCTTGGAATAGGTCCACCCACAGTTGTGGTAGATCTCCCCACATCAATTAACTCAAGATAACTCCTCATAGGTGTGCCCAAGTGCTTGTCTTCTCAATGCTCAGATCTCATCGAGTCGTCAATGTTAACCATCACAAGCGTAGGGGACCGATAGCATTTTTATTCTTCTTCATTGAAA